GGCGGCGGCCGCCGAGGCGCGGCGCGGGGCGACTGGACGCGCGGCGCGCGGAGCTGCGCGCCGCGGCCGATGCGGCCGCAGCCCGGCTCCCGGGCCTGCAGGCCGAAGTCGCAGCGCTGACGGCGGCGGCCGAGCCGGAGGGCGCGCGCGTCGTGGCCGCGCTGCGCGAGCTGGCGCCGCTGTACGAGGCACTGTACCGCGCGGCGCGCGCCGCGCTGCTGCCGCTCCCTGTCGAGGCGCTGGCGGGGCTGAAGCGCGAGGCACTGCCCCTTGCCTACGACGGCCTGCTGGCCGCAGGCGCGGCGGAGTGGGGCGGCTTCGACGATGAGGGGTTCACCATCGTGTCGGCGCTGCCGCCGGACGAGCGCCTGGCCACGCTCAAGCTGGGGCCTGCGGCCTCCGCCGCGGCCGCCGCCACGGAGGCAGCGGCGGTGTCGGGCGGTGCGACGGGAGCAGAGGAGACCGTGTCGGGTCCCACCGACGTGTCGGGCGCCGACGCCGCCGAGGATGTGCATCCACTCGCCGGCCTGGCCTCCGCCGATGCCGGCCAGGCCCCCGCGCCTGAGGCGGTGGCCCCGCTGCCCAAGCCGGCCAGCGGGGCGTCGCTGCAGCCGGCGTCGCCCGCACCCTCGCCGCGCACCGACGCGCGGGCGGAGGCCGCTGCCGGGGACGACCCTGCGGTGCTGGCCAGCGCCATCGCCGAGGCGCTGGACTCGGTCGTGGACGGCGCACCTTCGTGCACCGCCTCCCTGGCCGGCAGCGCGCAGGGCGGGGGCAGCCTGCGTGCCGAGGACAGCGCCAGGAGCGAGGTGGACCCGCGGGCCGAGGGCAGCGCCGCGGCCCTGCCCTCGCCCAAGAGCGCCACGCCGCCGCAAGGGCCCGTTGCGGCGGGTGCGAGGGATGAGGGAGGGGAGGGGGAGAGGGATTTTGCGTGTTTAGGGTTTGCACAGACCTTGGCGTGGTGCCTGCAGGAGGTCGTGCAGAGCCAAGGATCACCGTGTCGGGTCGCATCTGATGGTTGCTGTGCACCAGATGTCACTGTCCCGGAAACTCCTGCAAGACCCACCCCCTGCATGTGCCCACAGATGAAGAGAGCGGTGCCAGCGCCCAGGCAAAGTCAGCATCCCCGCAACAGGCTGCTGCCGCTCCGGCTCCAGAAGCCTCCACCTGGACGGCCTTCTGAGGAGCCTGCTGGGGCTCCTGCGCCGAGCCTGCGTTCAAAGGCTGTGCTTCGCCTCCAGGCCTGTTTCTACATCCATGTGTCGTTCCTGCCTATAACATCTGTGTGTTCACACGGGCCCAGCTCGGCCTCATGGCAATCTCTGAGGCCAGGAGCTGGTGTGGGAGTACAGTGCGGACTGTGTGGGAGAGAGCATGCGAAGAAGTGCAGTACAAATGCAAGGGGCCATAGGTCACGATGTCAAGTCAAGGGTTTGCATGGCGCTGCATGGCGGAGCGCCGATGATCAGTTTGGGCAGCTCCGTTGTTCCAGCTGCGCCTCAGGCACTGATGACAGGGATCTCGACGGTTGTCTGGCCGGCCTCTGCGTCCCGCTGCTTGCTCGGTCTGCCATGGCATGGGGTGGGAGCACGGCAATAAGAATGCATGCGGGCGCCTCCCTCCACTAGTGTGCCCAAGCAGGCAGAGGACGGGTACATCCATGAAAGAAACACAGCATTGCAAGGGCAGCCATGCCAAGATTTCCTGTCGATGATATACCCCACCTGGCCTCCGAGCTGTCCCCTCCTTCTGCTTCCCCCAGGCGAAGAATCGCCGTCTGCATTGGATGGTTTGGTGTGAGTTTAAGGCACCGAAAAATATTTGAGCCAGCTGGATGGTTTGCGCCCGCCATGCGCAAAGGAGTGGGAGAGTGATGGGGGACGGCCCCCTGTCAACCCCTCCTTGATCCACACACAGCCCAGCCCAGGCCCCTCCTCATCATGCCCTGTCCCGCCACCTTGAAGAGGAGGGGCCCGACCAGCAGGTTGACGATGATGCTGCCGGCGATGAGGGCAGCCACGTGCAGACCCCAGTCCGGGAGCCTGCGGGCGATGACCTGGCACAGGCCCAGCGCGATCCCCGCCTGTGTGACCATGCCCTGCCAGAGCCGGGTCCTGAGCGCGGGCGGGACCCTGCCGGCCACCCCACCGGCCAGGCACCCGAAGGCCACCCCCGCGATGCGGGCGGCCGCCAGGAGCACGGCAAAGGGGGCCAGCCCCGCCAGCAGACCCAGGCGGAGGTGCGCGCCCACCAGGCCAAAGAAGAGGACGTTCACGAAGGGCATGGCGGCCGCCAGGCCGGCGTGGAGCACCTGGGACACGTCCCTAAGGCCAGACCCGCCGCCCATGAGGTAGCTGTTGGGGTGGAAGGGCGTTGGGAGGAGCGGTGTGTGTGTGAGAGGGAGAGGATAGGTGTGCCCGTGGAGGGGAATCCCAAAGGAAATCAACTGGGAGGCTCACAGGTTGGAGGGGCTGCCGTGCAGGAGCAGATCTATGGCCGCCTCGCAGGCCATTCTATCGCCACAGATCTGCCCAGCCCTTTGCAATATCAACGCAATTTGTGGTCAGTGGGCGACAGCCCTGGGCTTCCTCCCTTCACACCTCCCAGCCCTTTCCCAACACTCTTCCCCCCAAAACAAGGTGCCGCCCCTGCACCCACATGTTGTTGCGGCCCTCCTCCCCCGCCACGACACAGGAGAGCAGCGGCTCCGCGGCCAGGGCCTGGGCGGCAAAAAAGGTGCCGCCGGCGACGAGGGCCGCCGGCGCCACACTGCCCCTCGCCCCCACCCGCGCCGAGAGCAGGCGCTGCGCACGCTGGGCCACGGTCCAGCGGCCGAGCCACTGAGCAGGGCCCCTGGGCTGCAGCACCCAGGCCAGGCCGGAGCCGGACAGCAAGCCGAGGCTGAGGGACACGAGGAGGCGGAGGAGGGGGGCGCCGGCAGCGAGGGTGAGTGACAGCAGGGACGAGGGGGGGGCGTCGGGTGTGGGTTCCTGGCTGAGGACGTCCAGGGTTACCGCGAAGCAGAGGAAGAGGAGGAGGTCTTTGAGCACGGTAACCGCCATGACCAGGCTGGTGAAGGGGCCGGAGGCACGGAGCTCCTGGATCACGGCGATCTGCGCCCTCGTCGAGCGTGGGGGTTGGAAATTGGTGACAAAAGCACTCCAGGAGAGCCGAGGACAGTCCGGGGTTTGGGCGCGGTGGGACAGCGCAGGGAGGCGGCGCCCAAGCAGTGGATCGGCAGGGTCGTCGCACAGTCAGGGGACCCACTTGGCAACCCTCACCGCCCGGCCCACCGCGGAGGCTGGGGAGCGTGCCAGCGCCAGTGTTCCACACAGCGAGGCCGCCGGCCAGACCAGGCCCGGCTCCAGGTGCAGCGCCTCCGGCCCCACCAGCGCCACAACGCCCAGGAATCCTGCTGCGGTGACGAGCCATGAGCCCAGGGCGATGCAGAGGGTCAGCACCAGGACCTGGGTGCCGGTCCTGGCCAGCTCCTCCGCTGCCAGCTCCATGCCCGCGGCCAGGGCGATCAGGGCCAGGCAGGCATGCTCCAGGCCCACCAGGTCCTCTGCCAGCTCGGCGGTGAGCAGGTTGATCGCGCTGGGCCCCACCAGCACCCCAGCCAGCATGATGCCGGTGATCTTGGGGGCCCCCAGGCGCACGCTTGCCTGCCCGGCGCCGTACCACAGGACGCAACATGCCTCCAGTGTTCCCAGACCTGACAGCGTAAAGATGTTGGATATCATTTGCGGGCTTAAAGCTCAGAAGGAGTTGAGAGATCCGTAGTGCCAAGGTCCCAAGGCCTCCCTCCGCTCAGTAGGCCGGGCCTGACAGTCCGGCAGGTGACTAGCCCATGTCGACCGACGATCAGCACAATGTTACGCAAACGGAGCATATTTGTTGTAATTGTGTCATCACACAGTACCTAGCGTCGATGATGCTCAGATCGAAGCTGCTTGAATCCGACAAGAGTGGCGCGCTCCGTTTCGAGGGTAGCAATGTCCACCCCGTGTCTTCCAAAATTATATGCTTGTGCAGCAATACTCGCTCCAACGTCCCGATGTATTAATCAAACGATAATTGCCCAATATATGAACTTCTTGTCCATCCTCCTACATCGATAGCCATGGGGCATGGATCTTGATGGTTTGGCCCAGGTGATCTGTGGCCATGCCTCCCGCTGCACCCGCACCGACACCCCAGGCCACCAGGCACATTCACAAGGCCATACCAGGGACTCAGTTCGTGGTTGATGCTTTCCGGCACATCTCACCGGGGACCAGCGCGTTCTTCCTCTCGCACGGACATGCTGGTGCGGCGTGTGTCGGAGCATGGAGTGGGGGTGTCGGCCGCTTGCCATCTCGCTGCATCCAGCCCACATCCACTCGACATCCCAAGCACCTGGCCACGTATACCTCGCAGATCACTACGGTGGGCTGACAGATACATGGAGCGCGGGCCCGATCTATTGCAGCGAGGTCACAGCCCGATTCGTGGTCCATGCGCTGGGGGTCAGGCTGTCGTACCTGCACCCCCTGCCCATGGACACGCCAGTCATGATCCATGGCGTCGAGGTCACCCTCGTGGATGCCAATCACTGCCCTGGAGCTGTTCAGTTCCTTTTCCAATTACAGGATGGCCGCAAGTACATCCATTGTGGTAAGCATGTGTCGAGATGTCCTGGGGACGGTGCATGGGATGACCGGCACACATCTTTTTCGCTCTTGCTGGAATGATGAGTCTCTTGCACTCTATATCTCTTGAATCAGATTTGCTCAGCCCCATTTCCCCTGGCTTCCTTTGTCTGCTGGAAAGACAGCTCGCCAGGTCTCCCTCACACTTGCCCCTGTCATCATAACGCCTGCAGGAGACATGCGCTACGCACCCCACCTCAAGTCTGATCCCCATCTGCAACGTTTTGTGGGGGCGGATGCCGTTTTCCTGGACACCACCTACTGCAATAAACGGCACACCTTCCCTCCCCAGGAGGAAAGTATAGCCTATGTAGTGGCCGCCGTGAAGAGATTACTGGCCGGGCAGGCGGGGGAGGCGGAGCCCGATGCGCCAGATGGCCCCGAGCACGCAGACGACAGTGCGGCAGCCCCTGGCGCCGATGCACCTGCTCCAAAGACTCCCGCTGGGCCCAGGCGCGTGATCCTGATTTCCACGTATGGCATTGGCAAGGAGCGGATCCTGAGTGCGGTGGCGGCTACCACTGGGCTTCGGCTGGCCGTCACTGAGAAGAAGCTGGCTGTCATGCGTTGCCTGAACCTTCCAGGTAAGAGGTTGGGGGTTCCTCTGTATGATTTTGCCGGAAGTTGTCGGTGAGCACTTTGCACATGTGAGTCTGATCTTGGGGAAGTGCTGCAGGGCATGTGAATTCTGCATTCTTATTCGCCCAGGGTCGATGGTCTAAATTGACAGGGGCCCGCGCTCTGTGTTTCACAGAGGATTGTGGCCTTTACATGACTCATTGCTTCCTGCGTAGGCTTGGATGTCGACGGCATCTTCACCTCCGACTTCTCGTCCACGCCGCTGCATGTGACGCCCTGGGGCTTCATCGGGTGAGCTCGGTCGTTTTGGGATGGATTGATGGCCATGTACCCAGGAAATTACATGGCCGCTCCATAACATTCAGTTCCTCATTGATGGCTGGTTGCAGGGAGTCATGGCCTTTTTTCCGGCCAAACTGGACCAACCTGGAGGAGTACCAGAGGAGCCAAGGAGTCGATGAGGTGAGCGGGGATCAGGGCCGATGTGTCAAGGAAACCACCCACAGCAGCCTGCCTTGACCAGCTCCGCGACACGCACATTCTCAACCAGCCTGCATTCAACTCAAATCGCAGGTGGTTGGTTTTGTGCCCACAGGGTGGACGTACGACATGGCCCGCAAGGTATTTCCAGTGAGGCGCAAGGGCGGCTGCAGCATCCACCTGGTGCCGTACAGCGAGCACTCCTCCTACCTGGAGCTCCTGGAGTATGTGGAGTTCCTGCGCCCTCATCAGGTGTGCCTGGGTTTGGATGCAGGGCTTGCTGCTGTTCATGCAATGCCTGCATTGGAAGCATTGAACCTGGGAAGACATCGGTGGCAGGTGAACGGTCTGATCCTGAGCGGTGGCACCTCTAACAACCTGACCTCCACCCCAATCCGGTGGCAGGTCATTCCCACAGTGGGCGTGGAGGGGGAGTCCGGCGAGCAGGCCATGCGCAAGATGCAGGCGCAGTTCAGGCACCTGGTGGACGAGACCAAGGACAAGGTAGGGGTGGGACTGGGATGGGTCTCGAGCATGGCCAGGCTCCACTCAACCTTCAGGTGCAGGCGCTGTCTCCCACAAGGCTTCCCACGCTGTGCGTGGCGCAATCACCCCACAGGAGAAGTTCTTGGCGGTTTTTACAAAGCGTAAGCGGCAAAAGGAGGCGCCCAAGGAGGAAGCAGAGCACTCACGTTCAGATATCGGACAACTGCCGCCGGCCCCCCCCCTAGTGTTAGCAGCGACAGACGTCCCCCCTGTCTCGACGCCTGGTGACGCCCAGACTGTGAAGGCAGAGGCGGAGTATTCTGCCGGGCCAGCCCTAAAATCTGAGACCCAGGACATTAAGGAGGCTTCCGTTCTGCTCCCTACTGCGACACAGACAACTGGCGGCGGGGAAACAACTCATGTGGCCATGGACAGCGATGTCACCGCCCTGCCCATGCTGGCGGTCAAGCCAGAACCTGTTGCAGACCACCAAAGGCCCGGCGCATCGGAGCCTGCCCCCGTGAGTGATGCCGAGGCTGGAGTGGACGAGGTGCAGGCGATCATTGGGACAGATGTGCCTGCCAGCACCATCCTGCAGCTGCTGAATGCCAGCAGGGGCGACGTGCAGGCAGCAGTCAACGGCTACTTTGACGCCCTGAGCGCCCCTGGGCTGAAGCGTGAGGCGCACAATGTGAAGCATGCACCGGTGGCGCTGGGAGCCAGCAAGAGTCGCAGGCCTGGAAAGCAGGGTCGGAGGGGCGGGGCACCGACTTCTGGCACGAGCAAGGCCTCGGCAGCGGGTGCAGCGCAGCAAGCGAGCATCACCGCGTTCTTCGGCGCATCGCCGGCCAGGGCGATGCCGGTCCTGGACCTGACCGAGCACGCCGAGCTGGAGGTGAAGCGGCCAGCGAGCCTGGAGGCAGTCGAAGGAGCGGATGTCAAGGAACCTGCTCCACCCCAAAAGAGGCTGATACTGCCCTCTCCTACCCGCGGCGAGCCTGTCCCAGCAGACAGCCTGCCAATTACTCTGAGCGAAGGGCATGTCAATGGCGACCAGGACCCTGCACCTGTAGCTGACGCTGAGCCCCAGGCCGCCCCCGGTGCCAAGGCAGAGGAGTCTAGCAAGAAGGCACCAGACATGGCGCGGTCTGTTCTCAGCTCAGCGCGGGACGCGATGGCGGTGCTGCCTGAGAACTACGACCCCAAGCTCCACGCCTGCTGGTCTGCAGGTGTATTGAAGGGCCGGGATTGCGCTCATGCTACCGCAGCGGGCAGGGAGCATGTGGACCTGCTCTGGCTGGGAGATCTGATGATTCTCATGCTCCAAACCATGAAAAGCCAGGCACTCACCCCCCGATAACTTATCAGGCGAGCCCACGCCGTACCTGCACCTGGCCCGGGCCTTTGAGGCAGCAGAGGCCACCACCAAGCGCCTGCGTGTCGGCGACATCCTCACCAACATGTTCAGAAGCGTGCGTGTGCGGCCGTCGGGCGTGGTGGGTACCCATCCTGAGCCCCTCTCTGCTCTGCAGGGCTCGCAACCCTCCGCCCCGCCCCCCGCCTCGCAGGTGATGGCCCTGTCTCCCGATGACCTGGTGGCCACTGCCTACCTTGCCACCGGCAAGGTCGCCCCCGACTACGAGGGCCTGGAGCTGAGCGTGAGTTTACCTCTGGTGGTTGAGCGGGAACCCAGAGCCTGTGCGGTTTTGAGGAATGTGTTCTTTGAGGATACATAGCTTGCCACCGCCCTCACCCCCCCTACATGCGCTGCGGTCCCTGCCCAAAGCACGCCCCCCCCCCCCCCCCAAAAAAAAAACGAAACCACACGTATATCCTGCAGGTCGGCGGCGGCACGGTGGGCGCCGCCATCCGGGAGGCCATGGGCGTTTCGCGTCAGCGCCTGCACCAGCTATACAGCCAGCTGGGGGACCTTGGCGACGTGGCGCAGTCCTGCCGCGCGACGCAGTCCATGCTGCGCCGCCCCGACCCGCTCACTGTGCCCGGCGTCTTCCGTGCGCTGCACGACATGGCCGCCCACCGCGGTACGGGGGCAGGCGGCCGGCGCCAGCACGCCGTGCTGAGCCTGCTGCGCGCCTGCCGTGAGGGCGAGGTGCGCTACGTCGTGCGCACGCTGGTGCAGGGCTTGCGCGTTGGCGCCAGCTGGCGCTCTGTCATCCCCGCCCTGGCGCGCGCGGTGCTGATGCACGTCGAGGGCACGCCGCGGCTGCCGCGCGTGCGGCTGGACGCCGCGGCCGCGGCCGCCACTGCCGCCTTCCACGTCTGCCCCAGCCTGGACCTGCTCTGCGCCGCCATGCGCAGCCACCCGGTGGAGGAGCTGGAGCGCCATGTGGGCCTGGTGGCGGGCGTGCCCATCAAGCCCATGCTGGCCAAGATCTCGGAGGGCGTGGCCGACGCCATCGCCCAGCTCAAGGGCGCACCATTCCTGGCCGAGCTCAAGTACGACGGCATGCGCTCCCAGATCCACGTTTTGCTTGGCGGCGAGGTGAGACAGGCTCCGGGGGAAGGGATTGGAGGATTTTTTGTGTGGGGGGGGTGAGGGACTTAAGACGGATGGAGGGCATTGAGAAGCGTATTAAGATAGTTGTGTGTAAGTCTCCATTTTCTGGAGGACTCTACAGTGTATCAGGGCGGCAGTGTATCACAGCATGAGGGTCGAAGAGTTGGCGTAAGCAATCCATCTGTGTCCTTGTGGACCCTCCTGTCCGGTGGGATTCTTGACAGACAAGCTTACATCAGGCTGTTCCACGCCGTCCACACTCCTCCTCACCCCCAACACCCCTCACTACACTTCCAAAGGTCAAGGTGTTCTCTCGCAACTGCGAGGACCGATCCAGCGCCTTCCCGGACGTCGGCGAGCTGATGAAGGAAGCCGTAGACGTGGACGCCCTCCCCCTCATCCTGGACGCCGAGGTCGTGGCCGTGGACCGCGCCGATGGCAACCGACTCCGCGCTTTCCAGGAGCTGGCCACGCGCGCCCGCGTGGACGTCAGCGCCGCGGCAGTGCAGGTGGACGTCGCCGTGTTCGCCTTTGACTGCCTGATGGCGGCGGGCCAGAGCCTGATGCGGTCCCCACTGACCGAGCGACGGAAGCTGCTGGCACAGGCGCTGAGTGGGGCGGCGCCGGGCAGGGTGGAGCTGGCGCGGTGCTATGAGGTGGCTGAGGGGGCCGGGGCTGATCCTAATGCAGACCTGCCCAGCACCGGCACTGTGGTCCCAGCCACCACCGCGGAGGAGGAGCATGCGGCGGCTCTCCAGGCCGCACTGTTAGAGGCCTTTGCGCAGGGCGGGGAGGGCCTGATGCTGAAGAGTCTGGGGGCGGGGTACGAGCCCAGCAAGCGTGCGGACCACTGGATCAAGCTGAAGAGGTGTGTTTGTTGGGGTGGGAGGGGGAGGGGGGTTCGAGGTTGTGCATTGGGATGTCCATCGGAGTGCCGCAAGCGGGGTTGCTGTGTATGGACAGGGCCTCACT